ACTTTGAAATTTAAAAAATTTAGATAAATGCCATAATTGATGTTTAATCCAACACTTATTTGTAATAATGTCACTTTTATGACATTACATTTGTCAAGGTGACAGTTCAAGAAGAAAATGACATATTCAAAGAGTAATAATGTCATTCACATGACATTTTCGAAACAAAGATGACATATTTAAAGTGTCAGTTTTTTGAGTAACAATGTTAGTTTCATAGCATACTGTCATCATGATAAATGTAATGTCATAAATTGACATTTTTCTAATTGCTTGTAATTTATGGCATTTTGAGGTTCCAAATTAATCAAAATTAATAAACAAATAAAAAATTGAAATCTAAAGAAAAAGAAAACAGAGGACCCAGTTCGAAGAGGATGTGAAGGAGAAGATAAAAAACAAGAGGAGGAAGAAGAAAAGAGAGAAGAGAGAAGAGGAGAAGAGATGGGAGAGGAGAAGATTTGGAGAAAATTACCTGGATGTCGCTGGAGAAGAACAGGCAAACAGGCAAGCGGCCTTGGCATCTTCATCGCAAATCGTTGTTGGTCTTCATCGCAAATCGTTGTTCATCGCAGATGGCATGGGCATCTGCATCTGATCGATGTTGGTCTGTCGGCGGGAGTGATGCGATGAATTGTAGGGGCTTTTTTAATGAACGACACTTTTGTCAGATTTTCTCTTTTTAGTCCTATTTTTGCTAAATAAAACATAGCAGTCTTATTTTTACAATTCTACCTTGTTTTAGTCCTATTTAGACAAATCACTCAAAAATGAAAGGATAAATCACGTATATTAATATCATTATAATCTTAAATCAAACTCAAGGAGATCATATCAACACTAACAACAATTATCTGTAACCAACTATTGTAAGGTGTTAGAGACTGTGTAACCAAGTTCATTGGGTCTTTATTGATATGGACCGTGCATCTTTTTTAATCATGGGGTTAAGTTTTAATCTCTATAAATACAAGCTCTCTCCTTGTAATCATTGATCCGAAAATTATAGCAATATCCTGACTTGGTAGCGCCCCCAGACGTAGTCCTTTGTGGCGAACTGGGTTACCGAATTTCGTGTGTTCTTTCTTATTGTTCTTCGTGTTGTGTGAGTTTAATCCTAACAACTATTACTATTAACCCACGGCTAGAAATAGAATCAATCATTATTGAAAAAGCAATACGAATCACTAACCACCAAACGGGTGTGACACAACAATCACCGATCATATAGAATTTTCTAATGACATAATAGCTAACAGAATTGTCAATCGTTATTGTAGACCTAAAGCTAAACATAACAACAACAATAGAACAACGTTAACAAACATAACGTGAAAAATAAGAGCATAAGAAATAAAATAATTGCTAAAAGCTCCAAACTCCTTCTTGCCCATTTTCTTAAGATATCATCTTCCAAACTCTGGCACCTCAACCGCTCCAAGGCGGCAGTTCAGGAGGGGATGGATCGTCGATCTGTCTTCCCCCTTGTTCATCCCTTCACCTCTCCTCGACTGCTCTTCGCCTATGCCGCCTCCTAATATGGTCGTTGTGTACAGTGTACCTGCCAATCGTACCCAACTTCTCCCCTGCCACGTCACCCTTCATCCCTCTGCCGCTTGAGCACCAAAACACGTGGTCAACCTTCTGCTCACTCGTTAGAGAAGCAAAGCCCAAATCAACGCCAACCACTTTGTAAGGAATAAATGTAATTAGATTTTGATGATGCTAGGATATTTAGATTAGAATGTTAGAGTACCCCCAATTAGATTTTATGTATTAGAATTTTCAATTGTAAATATTAGTGTAGTCGACGATCAGAGCTGCTCTGCTTTGGATCAGATCAGAAGTGCATCAGAACTGCTCGACCAGACTTGCTCTATGAGAACTGCTCCATCAGAGTTCTCTTACCAGAAGTCCATCAGAGTTGCACCATGAGAGTTGCTGATAAGCTTGGACATCTGATAACCAATGAGAGTTACAGATCAGAGGTACTCATCAGCGGACCTATCAGAGTCAGAGTTAGAGTTCAGTCAGAAATCAGAAAGCCATCAGAACTCAACTCATCAGAAAGCCATCAGAATCCAACGCATCAGAAGAGCCTGATCAGAGCCCGACTAACACTTAGAAGATTTCAAGCAACATCCAACAGCTATGAATCCAACGGGTAAAAACATCCAACGGCTAGAAGACTGTGCATGAAAGGAAAGCATTTAATGCACATTAAATGAGCCTGATACGCTGAAGGATTAATTGCAAATGATTGACCAAGGAATCCGGGAAGATATATTATAAAAATAGAAACCTTCCAAAACGGCGGTCAAGTCAACAGTACGCGCATTTAATGCAGTTGTCTCCTCCTCCAACGGGCAGACAACCTCAGTATATAAGCTACACACCGAAGAACAGAAAAACAACTTTGCAAAAACTTTTGCTCTGAACTTCATTCTACAAGCATTCTTGAGATTCAAACCCCACAACACAAATACAAGAAAAAGCTTACGTTGGGAAGATTCAACCTCACAATCTTTCACCCCCAACAACGAGCAAAGTTCATCCTGTTCTTCAACTCTTCAAGAACTTCATCAAACATCATTTGTGACGAAGCAAGTTGGAGGAAAAACTTTGTTTTTCAAAGGATCTTCTGAAAAGAAGGGCGTCCAAGTAACTGCAGTAGTGAAGTGGTGATACTTCCGGGAAGCTGAGTGAAAGGACCAGCCATCAGGACGTGGAATTGCATCCTGGGTGGCATCTAGACTTGAAGAAGACGAGGAGTGCTTCTTAAGTGCTAGGAATTAGCTTTGTAACCGATCTACTTCAAAGCTAGTGGAACAGTGGACTAGAGGAACGCGTTGTTCCTTGAACCACTATAAAAATATCCGGTGTCATTTACTTTACTGCAATTTATATTTCTGCACTTAGGACATTAACTGATTAACTCTAAGACTTGGAATCTGTGTTCAGCAGATCTTGTTTTCAGAGTTATCAGAAAGGCATTTGCCTTAGTATTTCTGAGGCTACCCGGACAGATCAGAATCCGCTGCCAAGGCCAGTTCTGATATCAGAACCAGCCTTTCTCTGTTACCAGAGTAAGACCTTCTCTGATAAGTCAGTTTGGACTCAGGGAAAAATTTGAAAAACCAATCAGTCTATTCACCCCCCCTCTAGACTGATTACCATTTAATCGGGACCAACACACTTTGTGTCTTTGTGTGTCGTTCCAAAACTGTGATAGTGATCACCAAGTTTCTGGAGCACGCCTGAATAACCTCCTAGTGCCCAAAGCAAAGCCAATTCGTAAGACGTTATAGAAACAAGTCTCACCCAAGATAAAACCAAATCTAAATACAAAATGAAAACTATAAAAACAAAAGCTGCACAAAGATTGGCATAGAAGCAAACTCTACATTAGAGAGGAAACGGTCGCATCTTAGGGTTTTGGTTAATCAATTGTTCTAATTTTATAGATGAAATTCTCGAAATATAAATAAGATATAGACAAATTACTTGAAATGAGATTCCAACATGTTTCACTTTTTGTTAATTATGTGTGGTGTGTAATTAGGTAAGAATGTTTTTAATTGGTCTTATTCGAGTCTCATACTAAATCAAATCAAATTAGACCATACTTGAACAGATCAGATCAGACTAGACGTTAACAAAGCAAATCAGATCGGACTTCTACAGTTGTAAAATATACAAAGACCAGACATCTATCCGACCAGATCAGATCAGTTCAGACTTGACAAAACCAGAACAAATCTAAATAAATCAAACCGGATTATAAATTTCAGTCTAATTAAAAACATTCAATTGATATCATGTTAGAATTTATGTAATTTTTTTTGTGTAAAAAAGAATTTTTGTATCAATTCACCCAATTTGTACTCCTCGCCACTATCACTAAATACGTAAATCTTGTCATCTTTCATTATTTGGGTGTCCAAAAAATTATGTCAATTTTCTTTTAAAGTAACAAATTTGTAATTGATACGCAATATGAAGTACTAATTTTCTCACATTTACAAACACTTTACCAATGAAATAGTTACTTTCCGATTCCACATGCTAGACAAACTGGTAGTGTTTTTTATAGATAGGGGAGTAACATAAACTTAAACTTTCACACATCAATATGTGTGAAAGTTATATCAATATGTACACATAGGGGTGGACTGGGTCCGGACGTCCGGTCCGGGCCAGGCTCCATGCGGGGACTGGCGGGATCCGAGTCCAAAATTATCACGCCCGGTACCGGCCCGAGTTTGTACCGGGACCAGGTTGGTCTGGGCTACCTAAGCGGGTTTCGGGACGGGACTGGGTCGGGTTGGGCAAAAAAATTCCAAGTTTTTTTGGAATTCTTGACCTTTAGGCCGGTGCGGTCCACTAAAATCAAAGTCAGGTACCGCTTGCTTCTTCATTCGGGTCGGGGCCCAGGCTTGGTCCCTGTCCTGGTCAACCGGGCCGGGTCAGGCCTGCGCAGTAGCGGATTGGGCCGACCCGTCCCAGTCCACCTCTATGTACACATCTAAAGTGATGAAATAATACATTGTACTTGTTATATCAATATATACCTATCTAAAATGATGAAAATAAAGTATGAATCCACATACAAAACTAAAAAGTGATAGGATAAAAGTATACAGTTAGAAAGTGACAATGTTAACACGAAAAGTGTTCAAGATTTTTTTGTTAACAACAAAAGTTATATAATACCGAGTACAAAATAGGATAGAAAATATAATACTCCGTAGTTTACATGGAATATTTGTGCAGAAGAACTTTTGTTCATTTAGATATATACTTACAGTCCTCCTTAACTCGTCAAGTGTAGTTATCTATACAAATTTAACCATGCAGTTATAGTTCTTGAACAAAAATGTAAGTGACAATATTTAAATCTAGTACTCATAAATTTAGAAAGTTTATTTTTCTATATAGACAAATTAAGTAACTTAATGAGGTTTTCGCCAAATATTATAAATAGTCATATATGATTGATGATTCCACTATAGAATATGTGTACATGAGATCTTTTTATAGACATTCATTTATATAGTAGAGTTACACTGGAAGTCCCATTATTAAAAAGAGTTGCATAGTGAAACCACATAAGTCATACGACTTCATGATATTATATACTTGTATGTCCTATACAATTTCTGGCGTTTTCACCCTACAAAATTATCAGTTACACGTGACACTTGTGATCCAATTCCAGACTTGATTGTTTACACTGGCACAATTTAAGAAGTGAGAATACCCCACAGTGATTTGTGAATGCCCCACTAGCCAGGGTAAGACGGACTGAGAATGAGCATATACAGCAAAAATATCACTTTATATGATACTGGTGCTGCTGAAATCCGAAACACGATTTTTAGTCATATATGTCAATCCATTATGCAGCAAGAACATCACTTTATATGATAGTAGTGCTGCTGAAAGCCTGAAATCCAAAACAAGATTTCCAGACAACTTCAACAATTTCCAGACAAGATTTCCAAAAAAAGCCTTTAAAGATATGAATAAATGGAAAGGTTGCCCATCCAGTATGACAATCAATCACCCCCCCCCCCCCCCCTCCCCTCCAAAAAAAAGCCCAATAGTGCAGCAACCATCAAAGGTGAACAAACTATGATTCAGTGTTGCTGCATTCTCACCTTGTCCACCAATACATCATAGCACTTTGCTTTACCATAATGCTATTCCTCATTATGTTGGAGAGCCAATACTAGGTTGCTGAAGAAATGCCACATTACCAATATACAATCATGGCTGGTTCAGACAGAACTTGGACCATAGGTAATTAGTGGTAGTAGCAATCACATGATATGTTGTATCTCTACATGTTTGATTTTCTTTCCCACCTCTTTTTCACACCAAGGCTGCAATTTCACATATTCAAAAGTATGAGAAATGTCAACTACAAAAAGATAACCTACGATAGATGCAAGCATTGCTGAACAAATTTTGTTGTTGAGAATTAATTACAAAGAAAAGAAATTATATCAACCACACAACCCTTCTTCTTGGGATCTTCGGTTTGGGGATTTCAGAAGGGAGGGAATGCAAGGGGTGATTTTTATTGTCTTTATTTTTCCATACATCAGGCAATTGGAAAAAAGTGAAGAAAATAAATAAACTTCACTAAATATAAACTAATAGTTATTTCTTGTCTAAGACTAACAATAAAGGTCAATTAGTAAAACAAAAACAAATTCTTCACTCCAAATCCCCCCTGGGCAAAACAAGTCCTAATTTGAAAGAGGAAGATTATTTCGGGATGAATCAAAAAAGAAAGTGGGAATATTACAACAGATAAAGGGAGTACAATATTTACAGACCAACCCCAAGTCCCCAAAGCTTCACTACCCACGCCATTATGTTTTATCTTCTGCTCTAGCAGTCAGCGTGAAATATGCATTTAACTTTTGTGAACTTGGGAGAGACTTTTGTTCCTGAACTCAATTTCTTATCTTGGTTCGGTGCCCTAATTAATAAAATACGGAGCAGTTGAAAATGAAATGATGTGGACATGTGGTAGACATTTGAGTAGAGAAGAATGGAATGTTATGGCAAAAATTTCTTTCTTTGAAAAGAAACTGGAAGATTATTTTTTAGATGGCCAAAAAAGGAAAACAAGAAGTATATTTTGAGAAGGGGGATAATAACTAAACGAGCTATACCAAATGCGAGTCTTGAGGGACCTCAATTTGGTGACAAATACTCCTTCTATGGAAAACATCTAAATAATGCTTTGCATTCAACCCTTGAGCTATAAATGTGTGGAAAAGAACATATGAAGGAAACAATACCCCCAGTGCAATTTATGGCGCTTGTGTGACGCTTCGTGTACCACTGTATTCTGATGATTTGAAGGAATAATATCGTCTGAACTGCTTCTTGGAACAGCTAAGTCTTCTGGTAGACCATCAGCATTTTTACTCATGTACTCTATACTTTCTTTAGTTTTGTTGTCTGTATCATGAGATTTGCGGGGTGCATTAACAATCTCTGCCAGGATCGAAAAGAAGCATAAGTCGCTTCCTTTTTTGTGAATAACCATTAATATAACCGAAGGTACAAACCTTTTTTGAAGCAACTTTTAGTTTTTGACTTTGCTTGTATCTGTAAACGCCTTCTACGCAATTCCTAACAAATACAGTTAAACTCAGAAGGTAGTATCACTAGGATACATAGAAAGTGTCAAAGCAGTAAACTCAATGAATTGTATAGTGTTAGAACTCAAGGGCCCGCTTGTTATGATGTAAAGTGAACACTTTGCGAGTACAGTGTTGGGATGTAAACATTTTACGCTGTTTGTTTTAATTATTTAATGTAAACTGTAGAACACTTTTTGAATAACATTTTACAATGTATCATGTAAAATATTTTATGTGGGGAAGGGTGGAAAACTATTTTACATTCGTTTATAAGAGGGAGAATACATATACGGAGCATTGAATTCCCGGTTTCGACCTAGATGGACTTTGAAGGCTGGCAGCAAAGCAAAAAAATTTGGCGTAATACTAATGTCTACTTCGTGCTTTCAATTTATAGAAAATTATAAACTGCTATTTCACATTAGTTTTTTACGTGTGTGTGTGGAAGCAAAAATTAGTAATATACTAATATATATCATCATCTTGTGAGTTAGTGTGAAATAGTTACAAAGAAAAGAATCACATCTCCCCTCGGTAAATACCCCCTACTTCTCTCTATCAATACTCAACTGTCCATATATTGCAATCAAAATGGCTAACCATGCCACAATTTTGTGCTTACACACGCACGGAGTTATATATGTAGTCCTTTTATAAATGTTTTACATGTAAAGTTATTCTTAGAGCAAACATTGTAAATAATTTGCAAGAAATTTAAAAATAGATTACACAGGTAACCAGACGATGTATCTTTAATTTACATGCAAATCATTTACTACCCTAAACTTTACATGCAAACATTTTGCATCATCAACAACAACAATATCCAAGCCTTAATCCCAAAAGATTTTGGGTCGATTAACATGAATCGATCCATGATATCGATGCCAAGTTTTAATGTGTGAACTACCAAAAGGGCCCTAAGTACATGTATATACTCCCCCTCACTCAAAAAGGGAAGACCTACATTTTCTTCGGAAATGAGCAATAGTTTCTTCTGAAATGATCTCTCTAGGGAAATTTTAATTCTTTTCACACTTAAAAATGAAAATTTAATCAAATGTCAACTTTTTCGTGGAGAGTAGTAATTAATACGGAGTAGTATTAATAATACAACTCCGTACTACTTTTAACTGATGTATCAGTAAAAAAGTATAATGGACTTCAACAAAAAAAGTGACAAAATTTTCAATCAATCAATTTAGGAATTCACTTATTCACTAGTCAAGATACAACCCAGCTCAAAAGGTGGAATTGCCTACCCAAAACCCGACAGAATAGTGGAACCATTTCTCTGTGGTTTAAGGCTGGTGTGCATGAGGAGGGAGCAGGGGCCTCAACCTTGCTTTAGCCGGAAAGGAGAGTGCCTGACCATTTTCAACCATCAGATGGAAAAATTACAGCCCACCATTGCCTTAATGCACTCTGCCTTAAGGCAGAGAATCCAACCCCATTGCCGTACGGCACTCTGCCTTCACCTTCTAGCTTTAATTTTTCAATTTGATGGTTGAAAATGGCCGGGCACTCTCCTTGCCCGCTAAAGCAAGGCAGAGGGCCCTGATCCCAGGCCCCTGATCCTAACCTCATTCAGCAACAGGAACTAATGAGCTAGGGTACTAGTCAGGATACAAGGTTTTAGCTTTTGGGTCATGTTTGATGTTTCTACATATAGATCACTTCTTTTGCAATTTTATAGTGATAACACATCAATTTCAGCAAGAAATCTAACAGTACTGCGAGAATAGTACTCCGTATAAGGATGAGAAAAAGAGCGTACTTGAAACTTCGAAAGCCGCTCAACGGTGGGGCCAGATTTGGGCTTCTTGTCGGAGAGTTGAGAGGGTGCCGAGGCTATCGCGGCTTCTCTTCCTGCGTCGTCGTCGCCTTCCATTGCTCCTTGTACAGGACGGAGAAATAATTAGGTCTGGAACCCAACTCGGTCCAGTCCCTAAGAAGGGAAATTGAATTTTGAGTTTAAGTCTTTAAATTTGCCAAAAAAAAGTTTAATTGTTTAATAGTAAGGGAATTATTCACAAATAAAATAAAGTGCAAATTACCCGTAAAGACTAGCTTTATATCCAGAATATCATTTATGTCCAAGTCACTTTTTCTTTTCATTCGTAATTTTTCTATTTTCAATTTTAGTTCTTCTATTTCACTTTTAGATACTTCCGAGTTCTGTGTCTGCCAAATTCCACTCCTCTGTCCATACATACATCTAATCCTTCTCCACCTCTCGGACTCCTTGACTTCCGTCTCGTACCACAAAAACCGCCTCATCTTCTTCTCATCCTCTCCATCGCAGACGATTCATCATATGGATAAACGGGGTCACATTTGAGCTTCGATAGGTTGTGATCGGAGCTTTGAGTCAACATGTCGTGACACACTTTCCAGGATTTATCGATCCCTCATCGCTATGATCATTCAAAACTAAATCAGAGGAGTGATAGGTTGAATTCATGGCTTAAATCGCACACTCTATGTGACTCTGGCGTTGTCTTAAGGGTCGGAGACATTATCGGTAATCTTAAGGGCTGGAATCCACGGGCGTTGTCTTCTTCAACGGGAAACTGAAGGAGTGCAGCAGATTTTTCTGTGGAATGTTTTTCTAGGAAAGTTGTAGCAACAGAAAGACTATATGAACAAGATGTTGGCAGCTGCGTTAATAGAATTCTCACGATTACAATAGACTTTTCTATGTCTGACGATTCCAAATGAGGTATATTTTCTATTGTTTTAATTCAACAAATTAATATGGTATAGTTAAATCGTTGTTCTCTCACACACACACACACATATATACGGAGTATATATTTATAGTTCGTATATGATCATTTGTGACACCGCACCCGAACGTCCTTGAAAATTCGATTTAAAAACTTAACATTTATGTATTGAATTTCCGATTTGCCAAACGATTGTAAAGCGATTAATGTTCTACGTAGTGCACGATTGAATATCGTACTGTTCAAACTCGTATGATAGTGTCGGGTTTGCAAACACTTTTCGGGACTTATTAATAAATAAAAGAGCTCAACATTTTCTAAATAAGTGATCGAATGATTAAAAAGAATACCAATGCCTACAACCCTATCTTTGGCATTTTTGAGCTAAATAATGGAAGTAGGATTTTCCTTCTATAATATCCATCAAGTAAATTATTGGGATGAGCCTACACATATTGGAGATCAATAATGTGATTTAGGAAGTTGACTTGTTCTAAATAAATTAGGATGAGTACAAAAAGACATCTTTTGACAAAGATAAAACAATAGGACCCATTTTCCCCATTTTTGGAAGTATTGGTAGATAATTTGGATCCCAAAATGATTGGGATCAATTGGGAACCACTCCACATGATATTAGTACCTGCAAGACAAATAAAAATGGGTTAGGAAACTTACCTTGGCCGACCACCATGGAGAGGAGCTGCACAAGACTTGATAGGAATCAAATGTTGGGCCACCATCCCTATTTTCGCACAAAATAGTGTGCTGGTTGTCTCCACTCATTATGGGAGTTATACTCGACCAAATGAGGTGTATAAGGTGTCCTTGGATAGCCTTTGAAGTCTAGTATCTCAATTGAGTGGTCTTTGTTCGAGGAGAGAGAGCTTATCTTACCAGAATCGAGCTGAAGTGAGTGGTGGTCTGTAAACTCGAGCTGTGAGAGTGCTGAGACTGTTTGGTTGATATCTCGAGTTATACCAATCCAATTAAGGCGTGTGAGATACCCAAAGAAAGCTCTCAAGACGAGGAATCTGTGAAGGTCTGGTTTGCATCAATCGGAGTAGTGGAAGGCTTCCAAATCGTCCGAGCAAAACACAACCTCGCAGAAACGGATCTACTTTTCTAAAGTAAGTTGTTAACCCCAAAACCTTTCCTTTCATTTTCCCAAATGATATGAACGATTGGTGGAACTATTGTACACTAATACAAGTGTATGAAAGGTCCTTATAAAGTTATTTTATTGATGTAAAGGTTAGATACTAACCTAGAGCAAATCTTGGGAAACTAGGAAACGAGTTAACCGGAAAACACCCATTCTAGGGGCTGTTTTCGTATCAACGATTAAGGGTTGAACTAGCACTTTGAGGAGGCTGTTTAACACTCATATTTGAGCAAGTAATCAGTTCCAAACCCACCTTGACCAAAGCTTTGACAATTGGACCAAGAAGGGAAAGTTTAAAGCTCAATTGAGGTGAGGATTGACATCTAATTGCTTACAACTTGTAGGTTAAGCATGAGATTACCTAAATGCTTAAATCATTATTTTTCATGGATTATGATGATCATATATTGATGAAATATTGATATAGTTGCCAAAGAATGAAATTTGAAATGATTTGAGAATGTATGAATAATATGAGATTTGATGAGTATAAATGAACTATTTTTGCGAAATAGGTATTTTGCTCATGTATGAAGTATTTGGATACATAAATGAATAATTGTGTATTGAGATTGAATACTTAAGTTGCTGCTACATAATTATAATTATGTAGAGAATTACAAATAAAGAGGATAGTGGTATGATAACAATAATCTTAATAGTATTGAAATACTAGTTAGTGATTATTGGAACTTGTTGATTAAATTGATCCTAGGGATTGGATTGTATGAAAGGTACTTGAATATAGTTCAAGTGTATATAATAACTTAGTATGGAACTAAGGTTAAGTTATGGGAAGTCTTTAAGGATGACCCATGGCAGTTTAATGATATGTCAATTCTAGGCATAGGGTTGCTTGAGAATTGGACCTTAATGCATGGTGATGTAGTAGAGCCGAGCTCTAGAATGCATGTAAGGTGTAGACTTGTAGTCTACGTATTGTATAGCTAGAGCCGAGCTCTAGGGCTTGCGTGGTGATGTAATAGAGCCGAGCTCTAGAACGCAAGGTAAGGAATTGACCCGAGTGACATGAATTGTATGGTGATGTATGTAGTAGAGCCGAGCTCTAGAATACAATGTCGTGTGTTAGGGTTGGACTCTATTGAGTATCGTGGTTTGTAGCCACGGGAAATGGGAATGGTGATTTCTAAATGAACATGGGCCCACGGGCCGACTACTTGACTTTTACCTAAAGTAAGTATATTTTCAAATGGGTAACTTAGGGTTACAATCATAATATACTATCACCCTATTTGAGGGTCTTGTGCTTGAAATACTTGTTGTATATCTATTAGATGCCTGCCACACCAGTACTTTATAGTCGTATAGAGTACTGACCCCTTCGGGGGCGTCCCACCACCATTTCAGGTTGAGGCTAGAGCTTGCTTCCTGTGCTCGTTGCCCGAGTGATTTCCCCGGAGAGAAGACTTGGTTCGTGCTTCCTCCATTCAGTTTTAGAACATTAATAAACATGCTCATGGATATTTTACTTTAGAGCCTGCGTGCTCATGTTCGCCCTGTGTGGCCCTTTGTCTTAAACAATGTTTTCCGCTGCGTATTGAATTACTTATTATGTATGTTTATGGATGACTTTTGTGTGAATGATATTCATGACGCCTTGTATAATATGAATGTGTTGGACTGCGGTTGACTATTCGTATTGTACGGCGGGTTGTTGACGTGTCCGGGGAGGTCCGGGGCGTGACAATTAAGTTGGTATCAGAGCCTTAGTCCATAAACTTCATAATGAAGTCTCAAAATTCTCTTTTTGAAAAGATTTTGAAAACCATGAGCATAGAAGTTTTGTACTTGGAGAGCTTTTGGTACTTGGGTCGCAAGGTCTCTAATTGTTAAGATGGTACCCTTAGCAATTGGTATGGCGGTGACTCGAGCCAAAATGTGTCTTAAGTACCTATCCGTCAATTGACATTTGATACGAGTCTAACGACTCTTTCCAAATTTCTTTCAGAAATGGACCGTGGTGGCAGGATTACTAGGAGGAACCCGACGGGCCGTGTACCAGTGGAGACTGGACAGGGCAGTCGAAGGACCTCTAGGGCATCTAGAGGAGCTGGCCGTGGAGGCCGATCACAGACCGTGAGTGACGGTCATGTTGACACAGAAAGTGAGACCTACTGGTCCTATGAGGACTCGACTTACCAACCGGAGACAGAGCCGGTTGAGACCCCTTATGAAGGGGATGATGACGATGTAAGTGATGAGGAGGGAAATGGCTCCTTAGCACGGATCGAAGCACTACTCCAACAATACCACCGGGAGCGTGAAGAGAGGAGGCAACGCCGAAGACGCCGAGTGGGGCAACCTTCGGGCATGGCTTCAAGAGGAGGGAGTCATGGTGCATCTAGAGTCCATGTGGAACCACATGGAGGCCAAAGTGATGGAGGTCCAACCATAAGGATCTCCAAATTTATCAAAGAAGCAAGAGATTTGGGGTGCAAACCCTTTGATGGAGCAGGGGACATTTCAGTCGCAGCACAATGGATCAAGAGGCTAAATGAAGCAGCCCTTGACATGCAAATCGCGCCGAATCTCAAACTGAGAATTGCGGTAAGATTGCTCGAGGGGATGGCATCCAAGTGGTGGGATGGAACCAAGAGCAAGTACGGTGAGACCGTCGTTTGGGAGGACTTCCAACGGGAGTTCTTTGCCCAATATTATTCTGATTTTGAAGTGAACAAGAAGGTGAGGGAATACACCCTCCTAACCCAAGGGGGTAACATGACAGTGAAGGAACTTGAGTACAAGTTCCGGGATCTCGCCGACTACATACCGGAGTATGCTTGTGACGAGAACCGAATGGTAAACCACTTTTGGGATGCTCTTGACTTGGAGATACGTGATAGGGCAACACAATTGCCTAATATGACCTTCGCCCAAGTGGTTGACCAAGCGTTGAAGGGGGAGAAACAGTGGGAGGAGAGGAAGAAGAAATACGCCGAGGAGGCGAAAAAGAGAAAATGGGAGAGTCATGGCTCCCAAGGTTCCAACAAAAAGGGGAACCATGGAGGAGGATCTTTCCGGGCACCGCCGCCACCGTCTAGGGGGAACCAAGGCCCGAGTGGGCAAGGCTCGAGGTCACAAACCTCGGTGGTAACTCGTTGCAACAATTGCAAGAGGAACCACTCCGGTAAATGTCGCGACCCCCCTAGATGTTTTCAATGTGGGGATGCCGGGCATTTGAAGGCGCATTGCCCACAATTGGGTGGGGCAAGGACATCGGGACCGAGCAGTGGCCCGACGGGTACACGGAATCAAACCGGAGCTTCTCAAGCGAGCCGGGGACATGGGGGAGCGAGTACGAGCAACGCGCCATCTGTGAATCAAGGAAGAACTCAAGCTAGAGTTTATGCGATGACGGAGGCAGATGCTCGAGCTAACCCGGACTCGGTTGCAGGTATTGCCTCTTGCACAATTGTATTTTGTCCATATTTAACCCATAAATTGATGACATAAGTCATAGGGATTGAGTGCGAGTCATTACGGGGTCAAACGGCAAAATTCGGGCCAAAACTGACCAAAAACAGGGACGCACGATCGTGCGTCCAACCCCACGCACGATCGTGCGTAGGGGGCAGTGGTTCCGGGTGAATTTCGCGCAGGACGCACGACCGTGCGTGCCGGTACGCACGCCGTGCGTGGACGCACGATCGTGCGTGGCCGGGTACGCACGATCGTGCGTAACCGACAGTGGTCGGGTTCGATGTTTCTTCACGCACGCACGACCGTGCGTGTCCCACGCACGACCGTGCGTGGACCCCAGCCGCCCGAAACACGAGTTTTTCATCCCGTTCTTTTACGATTGAACCCCCGTTTGATTCCGAACATTTGTATGAACCTATTAACCTCCAAAAAGGTGTCCTAAACCATTAGAAAAGGTATCTTACATGGTGTATAAATGTAGGAACATTAAAGATTAATGGGAAGGATGCACGAATCCTTATCGATACCGGAGCGCAACGTTCGTTCGTGAGTGAGGCGTTCGCCGAGGACTTAGGGGTACAATCAACACCAATGACGCACACATTAGTGGTATCAACACCACTAGGGGATGACGTTGAAAGAACTAGTTATTATCCATCTTGTGAGGTGGAAATTGATGGCCAAACCTTGACGTGTGATTTCGTACCGCTGAGTATGATGGAGTTCGATGCAATCCTAGGGATGGATTGGCTAGAAAAGCATCATGCTAGGGTAGATTGCTACACAAAGGTTTTGGAACTCGAAGGCAATAATGGGGACACCCTACGCTTCGAGGGGGATCGAGGCAAATCAAACAGTTGTATTATTTCCGCCGTGAGAGCGAGAAGTATGATGAGAAAGGGATGTCACGCATATCTAGCATACGTGATTGACAAAACCAAGGAGGAAACGAACATTGACGACGTGAGGGTGGTTTGTAAGTACCCGGATGTCTTCCCTAAAGACCTACCGGGGCTTCCACCTGATAGGGAGATTGAATTTGTGATCGAGGTCGAGCCCGGCACCAAACCAATCTCCATACCGCCATACCGTATGGCACCCGCTGAACTTAACGAGTTGAAAACCCAATTGCAAGAGCTTTTGGATAATGGTTTCATTAGACCAAGCCACTCCCCGTGGGGAGCACCAGTTCTTTTTGTGAAGAAGAAAGATGGGACACTTCGAATGTGTATTGACTATCGTCAACTGAACAAGGTCACAATCAAGAATAGGTATCCTTTGCCTAGAATTGATGACTTGTTTGATCAATTACGAGGGGCAACCGTGTTTTCAAAGATTGATTTGAGGTCGGGTTACCATCAATTGAAGATTAAGGAAGACGACATACCAAAAAGTGCTTTCCGCACAAGGTATGGGCATTTTGAGTTCCTTGTTATGTCGTTTGGGTTAACAAACGCCCCAGCGGCATTCATGGACTTGATGAACCGAGTATTCCATAAATACTTGGATCGATTCGTGATTGTGTTCATAGATGACATTTTGATTTACTCAAAGAGTGAGGAAGAGCATGAAGAACACTTGATACTCGTTCTTGAGACACTACGGGAGAAGCAACTTTATGCCAAATTTTCTAAATGTGAATTTTGGCTAAAGGAGATTGGCTTCCTCGGGCACGTGGTTTCTGGATCGGGAATTGCTGTTGATAACAAGAAGATAGAAGCCATTACCGAATGGGAGAGGCCAAAGAACGTCAAGGAAATTCGTAGTTTCCTTGGATTGGCAGGCTACTACAGGAAGTTCGTGGAGAAGTTCTCTGTTTTGGCATCACCATTGACGAAGCTCACTCGTAAAGGAGCTAAGTTTGTATGGGACGACAAATGTGAGAAGGGGTTCATGGAACTAAAGAAACGATTGACCGAGGCACCGGTACTTGCATTACCCAAACAGGGTGTGGGGTACGATGTCTATAGCGATGCGAGCATCCAAGGGCTTGGGTGTGTACTGATGCAGAATGGGAGGGTAATCGCCTATGCTTCACGACAGTTGAAGAAGCATGAGGTGAATTATCCTACTCATGATTTGGAGCTGGGGGCAGTGGTGTTTGCACTGAAGATATGGAGACATTATCTCTACGGGAAGACATGTCACATATACACTGATCACAAGAGCTTGAAGTATGTGTTTACTCAGAAAGAGCTAAACATGAGACAGAGACGGTGGATGGAGTTGATAAAAGACTACCATCTGGTGATAGAGTATCACCCAGGCAAGGCTAACGTGGTGGCAGATGCTTTGAGCCGGAAAAGCTCGTCTGGGGCATTGCTAGCTAATTTGAGGGCATTAAGAGCCCAACTGGAGGTATCCAGCGAGGGTGCCTTATTGGCACGATTTGAGGTGAGACCTACTTTACTTGATGAGATCAAGAAGGGTCAGGAAACTGACGAAGAAATTATGAAGATCCGGGAACGCATGCAAGCGGGACCGGTGGAGGACTTCAGAGAAAGAGATGACGGTCTCTTATTATTTCGTGACCGAGTGTGTGTACCGGCAGATGACGAGCTCCGAAAGTCCATCTTAGAGGAAGCTCATTCATCGGCTTATGCCATGCACCCGGGGGGCACGAAGATGTACCGTGACCTGAAGGAGAGTTACTGGTGGTCAGGTATGAAGAGAGAAATAGCCGAATATATCAGTCGATGCCTTACTTGTCAACAAGTTAAGGCAGAACATCAGCATCCAGCAGGCCTATTGCAACCACTTTCCATTCCTGAATGGAAGTGGGAACACGTGACTATGGATTTTGTGGTAGGGTTGCCACGGACAATCAGGAACTATGATGCAGTTTGGGTTGTTGTGGATAGGCTCACGAAGAGTGCACACTTCTTGCCTATCAACACTACCTACCCACTTGAGCGGTTAGCCAAATTGTATACGGATGAGATCGTGAGGCTGCATGGGGTCCCAGTGACCATTGTATCTGATAGAGACCCACGATTCACATCACGTTTTTGGCCGAAATTTCAGGAGTCTATGGGAACGAGGCTGAAGTTCAGTACTGCGTTCCACCCACAGACGGATGGGCAGTCTGAAAGAGTCATACAGATCTTAGAAGACATGCTGAGGGCTTGTGCACTGGAGTTTCAAGGAAGTTGGGACAACCACTTAGCACTCGTGGAGTTTGCCTATAACAACAGTTATCAGGCAAGCATCGGCATGCCTCCATACGAGGCATTGTATGGGAGGAGGTGCCGTACACCGTTATGCTGGGACGAGGTTGGCATGGCCAAACTCGAGGGTACTGAGTTGGTTGAGGTCACCAAATCAAAGGTGAAGTTGATTCGAGAGAGACTCAAAGCGGCTCAGGATAGACAAAAGAGTTATGCAGATAAGCGTCGAAGAACCTTAGAGTTTAAGGTTGATGACGAGGTATTCTTGAAAGTTTCTCCTTGGAAAGGGATCATTCGGTTCCAAACCCGAGGAAAACTTAACCCACGATATATAGGTCCATTCAGAATTTTAGAGAGGATTGGGGCCGTTGCATATCGTCTACAGTTGACTCCTGAGTTAGAGAAGATACATAATGTGTTTCATGTATCCATGCTTAAGAAGTACGTGCATGATCCCTCTCACGTATTGGAGAAGCCACCTGTAGAGGTACGTGAGGATTTGAACTACGCTGTTCAACCTATCAAAGTCACCGATAGAAAGGTGAAGAAGCTGAGGAGCAAAGAAGTCCCAATGGTGAAAGTCCTGTGGAAGAGCGATCGGGTCGAGGAAGAGACATGGGAAACAGAGGCTTTGATGAGGAAGCAGTATGCTTTCCTATTCGAGTAGAGCTGTGAATTTCGGGGACGAAATTCCTGTTAAGGGGGGGTGAACTTGTGACACCGCACCCGAACGTCCTTGAAAATTCGATTTAAAAACTTAACATTTATGTATTGAATTTCCGATTTGCCAAACGATTGTAAAGCGATTAATGTTCTACGTAGTGCACGATTGAATATCGTACTGTTCAAACTCGTATGATAGTGTCGGGTTTGCAAACACTTTTCGGGACTTATTAATAAATAAAAGAGCTCAACATTTTCTAAATAAGTGATCGAATGATTAAAAAGAATACCAATGCCTACAACCCTATCTTTGGCATTTTTGAGCTAAATAATGGAAGTAGGATTTTCCTTCTATAATATCCATCAAGTAAATTATTGGGATGAGCCTACACATATTGGAGATCAATAATGTGATTTAGGAAGTTGACTTGTTCTAAATAAATTAGGATGAGTACAAAAAGACATCTTTTGACAAAGATAAAACAATAGGACCCATTTTCCCCATTTTTGGAAGTATTGGTAGATAATTTGGATCCCAAAATGATTGGGATCAATTGGGAACCACTCCACATGATATTAGTACCTGCAAGACAAATAAAAATGGGTTAGGAAACTTACCTTGGCCGACCACCATGGAGAGGAGCTGCACAAGACTTGATAGGAATCAAATGTTGGGCCACCATCCCTATTTTCGCACAAAATGGTGTGCTGGTTGTCTCCACTCATTATGGGAGTTATACTCGACCAAATGAGGTGTATAAGGTGTCCTTGGATAGCCTTTGAAGTCTAGTATCTCAATTGAGTGGTCTTTGTTCGAGGAGAGAGAGCTTATCTTACCAGAATCGAGCTGAAGTGAGTGGTGGTCTGTAAACTCGAGCTGTGAGAGTGCTGAGACTGTTTGGTTGATATCTCGAGTTATACCAATCCAATTAAGGCGTGTGAGATACCCAAAGAAAGCTCTCAAGACGAGGAATCTGTGAAGGTCTGGTTTGCATCAATCGGAGTAGTGGAAGGCTTCCAAATCGTCCGAGCAAAACACAACCTCGCAGAAACGGATCTACTTTTCTAAAGTAAGTTGTTAACCCCAAAACCTTTCCTTTCATTTTCCCAAATGATATGAACGATTGGTGGAACTATTGTACACTAATACAAGTGTATGAAAGGTCCTTATAAAGTTATTTTATTGATGTAAAGGTTAGATACTAACCTAGAGCAAATCTTGGGAAACTAGGAAACGAGTTAACCGGAAAACACCCATTCTAGGGGCTGTTTTCGTATCAACGATTAAGGGTTGAACTAGCACTTTGAGGAGGCTGTTTAACACTCATATTTGAGCAAGTAATCAGTTCCAAACCCACCTTGACCAAAGCTTTGACAATTGGACCAAGAAGGGAAAGTTTAAAGCTCAATTGAGGTGAGGATTGACATCTAATTGCTTACAACTTGTAGGTTAAGCATGAGATTACCTAAATGCTTAAATCATTATTTTTCATGGATTATGATGATCATATATTGATGAAATATTGATATAGTTGCCAAAGAATGAAATTTGAAATGATTTGAGAATGTATGAATAATATGAGATTTGATGAGTATAAATGAACTATTTTTGCGAAATAGGTATTTTGCTCATGTATGAAGTATTTGGATACATAAATGAATAATTGTGTATTGAGATTGAATACTTAAGTTGCTGCTACATAATTATAATTATGTAGAGAATTACAAATAAAGAGGATAGTGGTATGATAACAATAATCTTAATAGTATTGAAATACTAGTTAGTGATTATTGGAACTTGTTGATTAAATTGATCCTAGGGATTGGATTGTATGAAAGGTACTTGAATATAGTTCAAGTGTATATAATAACTTAGTATGGAACTAAGGTTAAGTTATGGGAAGTCTTTAAGGATGACCCATGGCAGTTTAATGATATGTCAATTCTAGGCATAGGGTTGCTTGAGAATTGGACCTTAATGCATGGTGATGTAGTAGAGCCGAGCTCTAGAATGCATGTAAGGTGTAGACTTGTAGTCTACGTATTGTATAGCTAGAGCCGAGCTCTAGGGCTTGCGTGGTGATGTAATAGAGCCGAGCTCTAGAACGCAAGGTAAGGAATTGACCCGAGTGACATGAATTGTATGGTGATGTATGTAGTAGAGCCGAGCTCTAGAATACAATGTCGTGTGTTAGGGTTGGACTCTATTGAGTATCGTGGTTTGTAGCCACGGGAAATGGGAATGGTGATTTCTAAATGAACATGGGCCCACGGGCCGACTACTTGACTTTTACCTAAAGTAAGTATATTTTCAAATGGGTAACTTAGGGTTACAATCATAATATACTATCACCCTATTTGAGGGTCTTGTGCTTGAAATACTTGTTGTATATCTATTAGATGCCTGCCACACCAGTACTTTATAGTCGTATAGAGTACTGACCCCTTCGGGGGCGTCCCACCACCATTTCAGGTTGAGGCTAGAGCTTGCTTCCTGTGCTCGTTGCCCGAGTGATTTCCCCGGAGAGAAGACTTGGTTCGTGCTTCCTCCATTCAGTTTTAGAACATTAATAAACATGCTCATGGATATTTTACTTTAGAGCCTGCGTGCTCATGTTCGCCCTGTGTGGCCCTTTGTCTTAAACAATGTTTTCCGCTGCGTATTGAATTACTTATTATGTATGTTTATGGATGACTTTTGTGTGAATGATATTCATGACGCCTTGTATAATATGAATGTGTTGGACTGCGGTTGACTATTCGTATTGTACGGCGGGTTGTTGACGTGTCCGGGGAGGTCCGGGGCGTGACATCATTTCATTGGTTTTCCTTTCATGGTATTTTTTGAGTTTGAATGGTTTCATTTTATAGTCATTCGAATTCTTTTGATTCATGGATTTCAAAGGATGATACTGATAAATTAGTTATCCAGATAGGTTGCATCATTATTTAAATGATAACAAATTTATTCATAATGTAAATTGCTGGATTTATATATGTTTGAGGTTTGCTATTATGTGGAAATTAGTATTCTTTATGTCTCACTGTTTGAGACAGTCGGTGATGGAAAAAAAAGTTTCAAGACCTCAGGCAATGTCTAACTGAGTAGATGTGTTTGCTGAGTAGATTGAAACCCCATATGACTAAAATGTGCTGAAAAAATATGTCTAGTTGCCTACACTCAGAGGGATGTAACATCTAACTTTGGTTGAAATCATAGGTGGATTATATCCTCATCTTAATGGGTTAACAATGCAGAAACCTTCAAGGCTTCAATAAAGAAAGTGGATTATTTACCCTTAACTTTGCCTCACTCTAAAGTCCTTTAATATATTTGTGAAGTTGGATTTAAAGTGACTTTGTTAAATCTTATTCAAGACGTATCACTTTTTCAACCTTTCTTCACTACGAAGTAGAAAATGCTTTAACTCTGTTCCCTGTACAAGTAGGGATTTTTATCCAAAAAGTTGATGCCTCGGTTGTCCAATTATTATACTGTTTTGCTTTGTTAATTAGCAGATGCTTTGAGATGTTCAAACATTATTTGTAGAGAGCTATTCGGTCTTATAATATTTTTTTTATGAGTATATGAAAAAAGTAAAACTTCATCATCAATTACTTGTAAAACTTGTGTGTTTTGCAAGGGGATCGGATGGCAAGGTTCTCGATCTATTAATCTTTTTTTCATCTTCCTACTAAATGTTTTCTGGTTTTTTGTTTTACTATAGGAGGTTGTTATGTATTTATCGATTGATTGTTTGCTTATTTGGAGAATTGAAGAAATTTGCTAAATTTGCTGGTAATGGTATGGAGTGGTAGAGCTTTGGTAAAGTAAATGTGCTTCCGTTGTTTCACTATTCTTCTTCCTCTGAAGTGCTTTATTCGTATTTTACAAGTATTTAAGATACTCACAGATTATTCTAGTAGAAGTAAGTTTCATTTGTGTATGAATGAATGATTGTGTTGTCGACAAGATTTGTAGACTTGATCTTGATATCGGCATCGGGTGTTAGGGGTATGCTCCCGGGGCCTGGATAAGCCCGCGGCTTTACATGATGACCAGAAGATGTCTTCAAATAGCAACGTGAGATTTGCCCAGAAGCAGCTCAGTCAGAAGGACATGGAATCCTTGCCTTGCCGGAAATTGAATCCTGAGTCAAGTTTGAGGCTTAAGGATGACTTTGAGAACTTTGGAGACATTGGTTCCTTTGGGGAAGTTGGCTGCATTCGGACAAGGAATAAAGTCTTGCCCTGATTTTTCTTCGGATGGAAAGTTGCTATCCAGTGCTGGGCATGACTAGCATGAGGGCTGCTGCTTTGGAAGAATTTCCCTTTTTATAACTTTGAGTAGATACTTTCTTTGATTCTTTGATGAGGCATGTTATACAAACTGATCTAAGTTTTCTTGCTTTTAAAATTTACGTAGTATGAAATCATAAAGAGTGTAAGTATAAGTGTCATCTTCCCAACGATGAATAATATGGAATCAAGTGTTACTTTAAAAAAAAAAGATCTTGATATTGGCATCAATGTAAGCGAGTATGAAGATCTGATTTGATCTCCATTAGGTTTAGTAGCTTTTTTCTTGAATGAATCCTATATCACATTTTTTTCTTATTTTCTTTTCTGCTAGTTGTAGATATATTTTTAATGTTGTACACTAATTTTATAGGTGTATTTTTTGCTTATAATAATTGAGTCCATGTTATATTGATCACATTTTCATTGCAGGCGCATAATAGAAGTACATGGATCGGACATGATAACTAAGACTTAAAGATCAATGAGGAAGTAGAAGAATGTGAACTAGAGAAATGTAATAAGTTGAATTAGTAGATTGAACTATACATTTATTATGAAACATTTAAATGTTATTTTTGTTTCTTTTTGTGGTATCGTATCTGTTATTTTTTGTTGCATCATGTTGCCTTTTGTTTCTTTTTGTTGAATTGTTCGTGTTACTTTTTGTTGCATTGTGTTGCTTTTTGTTGCATTGTGTTTTCTTTTGTTTCTTTATATGTATCTTATGTGTTGCTTTTTGTTGCATCGTGTTGTTTTTTAGAAATACCGTGTTGCTCATTGTTATTTACAAAGTATTATTTATTTTTGACTAATGTTATAAATACATATACAAATACCTAAAATGATTATTTTCAATTGAAAACAAATAAAAAGTAAAATAAATTAAAGTTATCAACAATAAGAAACACAAAAAAAACAATATGCAACAAAAGTAACAATTTGGTAAAAATAAAAAGATTTTTAACTCTATTAAAAATGTTACATTAAAAAAATCAAGTTTTCATTTTTTAAATTTTTTATAGTTCACATTGATTTTTCCGATATTTTTTAAATTTATGAATTATGTTTTCTATTTTAATTGTACTTTCTATTATTGTTTGTTTTTTGAATACTTTATATATATATTTGAATACTTTATATATATGCTTTATATATCTATTTTTTATTGGTAAAGTATAATTTGAACGATGTGAATGCTTTCAAATTTTATATATTTATTCGAGGTATAATATTTTTTATATTGTATGCATTATGATTTTAAAAAATAACTCTCACATAAATTTCTAACTACTTTTGATATTTTATAATCATTAAATTTTGTATTTGTTTTTAATAAATTCGCCAACTTTTTAACTATGTTAAACATTTTTCATTTTTATTTTCGAGTTTTGTATTCCAAATTTACTATACACTTATCCTACATTTTTCTGATTTATTTTTAAATTTTTTAAAATCTAATTTACAAGTTTTAATTTTTCAGCTTTTATTATGCGTGTTTGATTTTTACTTTTTTTAATTTGAGTTTTTAAAGCAAATATATACATTTCAGAGCTTTATTATTTTTCCATTTATTATGATCTTTTGGCACTTTATACTCATCACCTTTGTAATAATTTATCTAAGACCAAAGCAACTCATGAGTTATGAGTGTACTTGCACTCCTAGTGAGGAGGAATACGGAGTAGCAGAGAATCAAACGTAAGTGCCGGGTGTTAATACTCCGTATATAGTCTTGTTGTGAAAACAAAATATTCGCTGGTCTATTTTTGAAATAATTTGTGTAAAGTGAAAAAAAGTGATATTACTTTCACTTGTTTGTCCGCTTGTGAAAAATTCCCTAAAATAAAATCTGTAAGTGCATGTTTGGTAGTCAAAAATCCTCACTTTCTGGTTTTTTTGTACTATTTAAAAATTCTTTGAAAATTTGTTGTTGTATATTACGCATGACAAATTTTAAAAGTTTTTTAAAGATAAAAGAACTTTTTTTGAGATGCTACAGTGAATAGCTTTTAATAAAAAATGTGTAGCTTTTAATATTAATTAATCTAAAAAACTTGTATATCAAACAAATTAAATCAAATGGTCAGTCTTTTATCAAATAGCTATTATCTTTTTCTTTTAAAAGATTTACAATCATTAAAAGTCAACAGTTACTAAAACATTGTGAGAGTATAATTTCAATTAATTAGGCTAAACATACCCTAAACCTTAAGAAAAGACATACAATTCAATCGTAACAACACTTGACAAAGAAAATTGTAAGAATCCTGATTGGATTTAGCTATGTTCAAATTGATTGTAAACGAATACAAATACAAATATTCAGAAGAAAATGTTATCGTAGGTAAAATATTTGCCTAAACGAGCAATAGTTATTTTAAAGTGTTATTTGCCTACAATTTAATCTACGTTCAAATCGATTCGACATTCGTATATGATTTGTTAACTATTCGTATTGTTAAACAAATACAAATCAAAATTAATATTCGTTTCATATTTGAATTTGAATTTGTATTCGACAAAATTAAACAAAAACAAATACAAAATCTCATTATTCGAGTCGATTCGGTTCGTTTACAACCCTAGATTTAGCCAAGGATAAGACTGCTAACCAGATGCTGCCGTTTGGACCTTAGGCCGAGAGTATCCTACGGATTTCTATCAGGATGCAACAACTGAAGTCGAATGCTTACACCCCGAGAACCCGATCCAATGAAGTGTGAAGAATTATACGAGGAGTCGTACGAGGTCATCATTTTCATCCTTTACATTTAACCCAGTGCCACAAAGGCTCCCACCTATAGTGGGGTAAGGGGGGGTCGGATGTACGCAGTCTTGCCCCTGTATTAAAGCACAGAGAGACTGTTTCCGGATGACACATAGTGAAAATCGCGTCCAAAATTGCATGGACTGACTGTTGCTTCATAACAAAGAAGCGCAGACAGTTTAGTGAGCCGTTTTGCTTTATTCCATCATATTCTCAAGCAAAAAAAATGATTCTTTGACTCCATTGCAAATGATGGAATGGAGCCGTACCAGGTGAAATTCTCAAATTCACAAATAATTAGATTAGTGTTATAACTTATAATGTAAAGAGACTTATAATTAGGAAAGCGTGCAGAAATTAAATAGACGAAAAATAGGAAACATCAGTCCAAAACATAACGCATGATTAGAAAAACATATATACTCACAATTGCAAAACTTTATTTTATCCAAAAAGAAATTCACAAATAAGTCATTACGATATTAGAATTGTGAGATTATATAATAAAAAAACATCATGCCTCAAATTCTTTGTGGGATAAGAATGTATTAATAACTAGAATAAACTTCAAAAGAGAGCAAAGTTATGCCAAGTTATTCTGGAGAGGTGTTCCACTCAATGAGAGCTTATTCGCCGCAAGTTAATTAAAACTTTAATATGAACACCAGATGATTATCATGTCTCTTTTAATTGCAGTTCTATTGAACAAAAATGATGTC